TGTTAATTTAGTTTGTTGTAAGGATGCAGTTATATTAATATTGGTAAGCCAATAATTATTTTCATGTTATGACGATAACAGTTTTAAAGGTAAAGATTAGCTTTAAGTGAGCATTAGATGACAACAAAGGTAATATAACTTACATAAAAGTAGAAGAAACTGGAAAAAGAGTAATGGAATGGAAAAAGAGTACTCTTATGCTCACCAAAGCTGCATTTATTTGATCAAAAGTAAAGTAAAAACAGTAATATTGTTACATAATATTACAATTTACAATAATTGTTTCTTACGTTAATATACTTTAAAATGTCATTTATTCCTGTGATGCAACGCTGAATTTCCAGCATCATTAATCCAGTCTTCAGTGTCACATGATCCTTCAGAAATCATTCTAATATGCTGTTTTGTGCTCAAGAAACATTTCTTATTATCATCAATGTAAATAACATTGCAAAACAAAACCATTTTGTCCGATTTAAAAGAGCAGCTTTTAATTGAAATAGAAGTCTTTGTAACATTTTAAATAACTCTACTGTCACTTTTGATCAATGTAATGCATCTTTGCTGAGTAAAAGTATAAATTTTTACAAAAAAAAATCTTACTGCTCCCAAAAGTTTGAATGGTATAAACTTTAAATTGGTTGAACAAAAAAGATGTTAGGCATAATGTGCTTTGTTAAGCCATCAAAAGGCTTGAGGAGGGTTGTAATATAGTGAACAAATCATATGGACTACTTTTACCCAAAGACATATGTGTCTTGAAACAACATGAGCCCTTTTTTACATTTTAATCCCAGCATGAGTTTTTCTTTACATAATATTTCTTTCCTTTCGTATTTGCCAATTATTACATCATTTGGATGATTAATTCATCCAAATGAATTAATTCTTGCTCCGTGTATTTATAGAAGTCAAACCTACTGTTCAGTGAGCAGCCCATACTGATAGCTACAGGAGATCTGAATGTAAACATTCCAGTAGAGAATTCTCCTGCTGGGCTGCACAGTCCGTTTTTCCACTGCCGCCTCCCTGGAGCTCAAGAACTGAAAGGATCTGAAGGACTGTGCCCGGATGAAGCTCTCATTCACACACACGCTCTGTTACCCACAGGTTTTGTCCTGATTATTCTCTATACTTACACCTCTTGCTTGAAGAGTAAATGTGTCCCATTCAGAGGTGTAAAGTATTGGAGTAAATGTAATTAGTTACTGTACTTGAGTATCTTTTTCGATACTTTGTACTTGTACTGAGTATCAAAGATATTAGCAACTTTTACTCTCTACATCACTACATTTTTGAATGAGTATCTGTACTCTTTACTCCACTACATTTGAAATGAGTGTTGCAATTACACATTACATTTTGCATGGACCTAACTTTTTCTGCAGCAGTTTATTTCTGCTACAAAAAAGACGTGATACTGCCTATTACAGGTCACTGAAAGTACTGCATCTTGTGCGTTTTGCCCTTACTCACCCAAACCTTTCAACAAGGCTACTTTATGTGCATGCGAGTTCCTTTTAGCAAGTATTTGTGAATCAGAGGTGTTTTATATATGAGATGAGGACATGACTGCAGCCGGCAATGAGGCCCAAACCAGCACATCCAGTGCAAGAAGACTTTGGCTTTTTAATTTTACTTAACATTATTTTATTTATCCATTATACTGAAGAGACCTTTTTGAAGGATATTGTTTTTTTGTTATGTAATTTTGAGGTGTTCAGTTTTATTTTGGTTAAAACTCTCCTCACAAATCAACTCTTTCTTGTTTTTGTTTCATGCTCTCTGTGCCTTGCCTTGGAATTGTGTCACTTCCTGTCTCCCGTGGTGTTTGTAGTCCGTTTGTTCATTGGTTCCCCTTGATTAGTCTCCCCAGGTGTCTAACCCTGTGTGTGTATATATAGCCCTAGTTTTTCTTTAGTTCCTGCGAGTTGTCAAATGTAATGTTTGTCTGTTTGCCAGTAATTCTGTTCTTTGTTCCCTTTGGTTTTTGGCTTATTGTTTGTTCTAGTTTTTCATTAAATACCTGCACAATCCTTGCCTCTGCCTTTTTCCGCAGCTTCTCCACAACATTACAGTTTATCACTGGCATGTCTCTTTAACTAGTGCATTTTTTGAGCCTATATTTAGTATAAGTAAAATACATAAGTACTGTTAAAATCAGATACTCTAAGACTTTTACTCAAGTTGTTTTGAAATTGGTGATTTGTAACGTGTAATGGAGTAATTTTCACTGTAAGGTATCTGTACTTTTACTCAAGTATGGTTTTTAGGTTCTGTTTACACCTCTGGTCCCATTACATCAGCGCTGAAAAATTCACTTCTTGGTGGTAGCGAGCCAAACAAATGTCATACGAGATCTTGTTGTCTCAGTTTGTGTGTCACTGCTGTTAAATCCAACATAGAGAACCAGATACGTCATTGCAGCAAATACAGACCTGCTTGTCAGACGCTTGTTTTTATGGGGATATGAAGGAGCGTTTGGGGGCAGGATAAGATAAAATATACATTTTTAAACTTTTGTGTTCTACAAGTCCTACTCATTCATCAAACAAAATGAATGAACCAGATCTAGTCACAGCCAAAATGTGTGAGCAAGAGTCTGTCTTTCTCCTAACTATTGTTTGTTCTCCAGCCATGGTGATACGACTTACGAATCCTCACCTCTAATGCAACATTCACAGGATTTAGTGTGGCTAACAGTCTTGGACGAGTGATAGATTATTACGAAATGGGAAATGGGAAACATGCACGCCTTTCTCATTGCGAATGAATTCCATTCAGGCTCTGAACCGCAAGTCTGGCTAGCCAACTCGACTCTAACCCCAAATTAACTCGCTTCCTTCTACACCCAATGGCTGAACCCCCACCTCTTGACCCACCAGTGATACCAGCTCTCTTTAACCAGCAGCCTGGAGACTCCTCTCGGTCTGAAGTCTTGCGTAACAGTCATATCCCATGGATGAGCTGGCTTAGATGGGGAGAATGAGCCAAATTCACTCGGTTACCCTTTACAAAAGAATCCCAAACACCCTCAGAAAAAAACTGCATATTTTCAAAACCAGCTAGTCGTATGTAATGATTTGTGTATGGAAGCCATTTATAATTATATTGACTGTTTCAGATTCTCTTTACCCCAAACATGCTTTTGAAATCATTTACATAAGAATCATTGTTGTGTTGGAAAAGAGAACGATGGAGAGCAATGAAATGGAATTATGGAACCGAATCCTTTTTTGATTTATTTTTATTTTTATATAAAGTTAGACTTTTTTTTTATGTGACACTGATTAAAAACAAGACAAAGTCACAACCTAATGGCAGTAAATGTCCATCTGATTGTGTAATAAGGCTGAGTATCCATACAGATTTCCTGTTTTGATTCTGATTCACAGGCTCTTAATTCAGCTCTGTTCAAAGAGATTCTGATTAATTTGGGTATATTTCTTTTATAATATAGTTTTGGGGGTTTTTTTGGCTTCAAAATCAGACTACACCGTTTGTGCTGTGTATTATTTTAATTTTTTTTACGTAAAAGAACTGATTTGTAAGAGTAATTTATTCATGAATCAGACTACAGAGGTTTTGTATTTTTTTTGGTCCACTAAAAAGAACTGGCTCGTAAGAATCAGACTACACAGTTAGTACTGCTTTTTTTTTTTTTTTCATTCACACAAACACATTATGTAAGATTTTCATTGCCATTAAGGTAGTACACAGGTTTTTAAACTTAATGCAAAGAAAATATTTTGTCAATTAATATATTCATTTATTATGATTTTAGCACATTGAAAATAAAGTAAAAAAAAAAAAAAGTTTTGCAGACAATATGTTGTCAAACAATCATGTTTAATATTTTTCATCATGTTTAATATTTTTCCTCATATTTAGCTGCCTTTATAGTTTAGGAAGGTACATAGTTTAGGTACAGTACATAGTTTGTACTTATTGTACTTATTAGACTAATTTTATTCATGAATCAGACTACACAGTTTGAACTTTTTTTTTCATTCACTGAAAAGAACTGGTTTGTAAGAGTCATTAGTTCATAAATCAGACTACACAATTTGTACGGTATGTTTTTGATTCACTTAAAAGAACTGGGCTGCGTTTCCCAAAAGCATCGTAAGCTTAAGTTGATTTTAGAACCATTGTCACCAGTGGAGTTACGATCAACTTAGGTTTACAATGTTTTTGGGAAACGCAGAGCTGGTTTGTAAGAGTAATTTATTCATACCTTGGTCATGCTGAGTGTTCATAAGAGTTTATTTATTTATGATTTGGCTGAACAAGAGATCCTGCACAAATTAATTGAGGGGTTTATAAGAAAAACACCTTCATAGAGCTCTAATAACTGACAGCCCCAGCAGCAGTGGATAAAGATAAAGAGCTTCAGGTTTCTCGCAGTCTAGACCTGCCACGGCAGAAAGGGTTTGAAAATAGTGGATCAATCTCCAAGTTGTCTGGCTTCTCATCAGGTCAGCACTTCTTTCCTGTGGCTCACAAACATACCCAAAAACCTGCATGAGCTCTAGAGCTAAGCTTAGAAAGCCAGGAAATGAGATCAGCTGGATGTCTTAATTGGAGATTGTACTGGGTGCTTCTCATACCAACATTCAGTCTGGCTCTCATTCATTCTCACAGTCTTTCACGCTTTCTTTCATCCCTGGATAGAGCTTGTGAATTTTGTGAAGTTAGACACCCTGGGAATTGACACACAATATCCTCCTAGCAGCGCAAGAGAGCGGTTCACATAAGAGGACTTCGTTTTCCGTTCAGCGCCAGACTTTTCATTTGGCCACATTACTGCTTTCTGGAGGCATATAAAACCGTTTGTATTGATGCTGTTTAGAGGGATGTTTTTAGAGACTAAAATGACTTCAGGTAGAGACATAAAAACAGAAAAGGGAAGAGTCTGAGCTTTGAAATGTGTAGTGAATGAGCAGTGCCCTGGTATCTGTGGAAAGAGTGTAGTTCCTGTGTTTGCACAGTGTGACCGTCTCTAAAATCAGCCCTCTGTTTTTCCAGGTCTTTAAGGGTGAATTTCAGCTACCTGATTTTCTTAAAGAACAAACACAGGTATGGTAGATATTCTGCCTGTCCTTAAGCTCTTCATAATAAATGGATTTTGTTCTTCCTATTTCTTTTTCTTCAGTAAATAAAATGGTGGTCATTTAATTCCCATCTGTTTCCACTCATTCTGATTCTTTGCTCTTCACGTAATTTCTGATCATAATGCTAGTTAATAAGGTGTCCTGTGGTCTCCTCTAGCCTGTGCTCCTCTGATCTCATGTTTTCATTTTTTGATCTGATCACATTAGCTGTAGATCTGTGGCCTCATTTCAAACACTCTCTTCCATAGTCACAGGCTGGTGTGCTAACTACGAGTCCTATACTGTCCCCTCTTGGACAGATGGTGGGATAGCAGGTTTATGAGTGATTTCATAGAGTTAGTTTTGATCTTCAAAATATGAGTAAATATGTAACTGATTTTATAAGAACACAAACAAATTATGTAAGGTAGTATGTAGGGTATGGAAGCCCGTTTCTGCCACTAAATAAAAAATAAAACACGATAATTGCGACTTTTTATTTCACAATTCGGACTTTTTAACAGTCAGAATTGCGTGATATAAACTCACAATTACCTTGTTTTATTTTTTATTCAGTGGCGGAAACGGGCTTCCATAGTAGGGTTTTTCAAACTTAATGCAAAGAAAATATTATTTCAATTAATATTTCAATGTATTATTATTTTATTACAGTGAAAATAAAGTAAAAAAAAAAAAAACTAGTAAAAACCGCAAACAATATGTTGTTTTTTATTGCATCATTGAATATTTTTCCTCATATTTACCCGCCTTTATAGGAAGGGCATGTTCATCATATTTGGGGGTCCTTGGTGTCAAAACGATCTGAAAAGCAACTTTAGAGGCTGTTGAGAAGTTTAAGAGGGTTGGAGTTGCTGTGATTCAAACTCTGCGGCTAAAGAATCACTAAATACAAATGAACATGCTCAACTCGACTCACATGCACTCTCATCAGATCTGCTCTTCTGATCTCAAGAAGAAATCAAACTTAACATCGCTGAAGCAATGCTCAGAACAATACAAATACAGTGAAAACTGTTGGCTGTCCTGTATTGTGTCCACACATGTGTAACAGATGTTTCTCTTATCACAGCTTCAGAAGTCCCCAGAAAAGCCAAACCCAAGTTAGGAGGAGAAGATGAGAGCTTTATCAGTAGAAGTGAGCTATTGTCATCTTTACTTGCAAACTTTGCTCGCTCTTTGTTTTGAATCATTTTTACAGTATAAGAGTCATTTTAAGGAAATGGTGCCGGTTGTGCTAGAAAAATATTATTATTATTATTAAAACAAAATGTCTGTGGTATTCTGAAAATTGCAGAAATTGTTCATTATTTGATATTACCACCAGTGATACCAGGGATGATTATTTGACATTATTTGATATTTCTGGCATCATATTTAAAGTATTATTCCAGAAACAGATTTATATTAAGTCTTAATAGATTTGAACCACATGGTTCAAAGACAGAATATTGCCACATTCTTTGATACATTATTATTATTATTATTAACAACAACAACAATAATAATACAAAATAATAATAATACATTTTATTACCTGTATTTTAATTTTAACTTCCTATAAAACACATTAAAAGTATTGATGAATGGGGGAAATATTCTGGGAATATATTAATGAAAATAACAACAAAAAGCTAAACATTTAAAAATAAAAATATTTTTGTAGTTTAATAGCACTTTTTAGCATTTTATATGTAGTCAAATCTATCAAAGAATGTCTGAGTATTCTGTGAATTTGATCAGTATTGTTTTAAGTCATGAAGAAACATTTAGCAAACAGATGTCACTGTTTCCTGAGAATCATTTGTATGTTGTATGTGTTATTTTACAATACTCATTGTGAAAGCATCATAATATGGCACACAGGTCTTCTTCTGCTGACGTTCTGTCACATCAGTAGAGGTGACGGTGCCGTAGCTGCTCTTTTACTCAGCTGCTGTGCTCTTGCTGTGTTTCAGGGCTGAGTAGAAGCAGATGCCGTGGGACCATGATGGACTTGCATCACCCCCGCTATGCTGGGACCTCCATGCATGGAAACACACACACACACACACACACACACACACACAGACAGATAGACAGACAGAGACAGGCCTCTGAACCCGGACCACTCTTTGGAGGACAGTTTTGGCCTTTGATGTTGTACTGTAACAATTGTGGCCTAAGAATGTCATTGCTGTTCTGAATTTTGTGTTTTCTTCTTTTCTTTTTAAAAATTAGTTTTCCACACTGTACTCTAATTTTCATTAATTTTCCTGGCTACACAAACCTGTGATTCTGTTGTAAGAAAATACAGTGGATTTAATTAGCAGCAAGGAAATATTTATGGAGGAGCGTTAGCTTTAGAAGACGCTATTTTTGGAGCAAACGCCTGCAGGACACCGGCCCTCCAGGACCGAGTTTGGGCACCCCTGTCTAAGACATTTGTGCGCCCTCTAGCGGTTACTCTGATACACTGCGCACATTGTCTGTGCTACTTTCATTCTTTTATATTTTGTACCGTTTAAAAATTTGGGATTAAGATTTTTAAAAGAAATGTCTTATACTCACTAAGGCTGCATTCATTTGCTCAAAAATCCAGTAAAACATAAAATTGTGAGATATTCTGATTTAAAACTTTTCGTTCCTGCGATGGCAAAGCTGAATTTTCAGCATCATTACTCCAGTCCTCAGTGTCACATGATATGCTGAATTAGTTCTCAGAAACATTTATTAGGATGAAAACACTTGCGATGCTTAATATTTTTGTGGATTTTTTTTCCATCGTCTTTTTTTTTTTTACAGGATTAGTGAATGAATAGAATGTTTAAAAAAAAACTATTTATTTGAAACAGAAATATTTTGTAACATTAGAAATTACGTTACTGTTACCTTCTGTCAATGTAATGCATAAATTGATTTGAAACTAAATTTGAAATCTTATTGTCCCCAAACTTAATATTTAAATATTTTATAATATTTATATATTTTTTGATCTGCTGTTTAAACTTCTAAGTTATTCCAAATGTATACTATTAAGTGCACAGACGGCTAAAAAAAAAAAAGTCTGCATATGAAAATGTTTTAATCTTAAGGAACAATTTTTTTCCCCATAATACATGTACATTCAATGATACATCCATTACAATGCATACTTCATTCTGATGTTGGCGTCCAAACAAAAATGTACATATATATTTTAAACGATTAGAAACCAGTGCACAACGTTGATAAAGGACATAACAGTCAACAAGTAACGAAGGTTTCCCACATTTCAATTGTACAGCTCTCCAGATTAGCCCAGTCTCTAAAACCAGTAAGTAAAAAATAGAGTCTGAAATACAGCTGACAGTAGTGTCCTCATAGAAATCCAGGGCTTTTCTCTTTATTTACAGTGCAATAATACACAAGGAAAGGAGGATAATAAATGTCTCACAGTAGAAATGAAAAGAAATGATTTGTCTTTTATACACCTAATCAACAGTCTTTGAGATATGGTTTAACATTGCACGTGTGTATATGTTTTAGAGGCTTTGGTACATGAGCTCCTGTCAGAAGTAAACCTTTCATAAGGGCTAAAACATCCCTCGCACGCATTCAACCAGAACCAAGAACAAAAGGAATTGGCAAGATTTGAGGCAGTGACCAATAGTCACATCATAAGACCACTTCTCCCATAATCTCTGTCAGCTGTTAGAATAAAGTACAGTTGGTTTTGGTTTTTGGGGATTTGAAGCTGTTTGGAATAGCATACTAGCATACTACTACTGCAGTATATAGTACGCATACTAATGTGTGAATTGTCTGTATGCGTGAAATACCCTGATGACCAAATGTGTAGTTTATATCAGCACCCTGCATGGAATATTAATATCCCACAATGCAATGTGCTTGACTTAACAGTCCATTTCCAATATATCATTTGAAGAAAATGTCAAAAGTTAACTCTGCAGTATATAGTACGCATACTAATGTGTGAATTGTCTGTATGCGTGAAATACCCTGATGACCAAATGTGGTTTATATCAGCACCCTGCATGGAATATTAATATCCCACAATGCAATGTGCTTGACTTAACAGTCCATTTCCAATATATCATTTGAAGAAAATGTCAAAAGTTAACATTTCAACTATAAATAACTTTATTTCCAAAATGACGATTGGTCACACTCTGCACCGCATACTGCATTTTTTTCACATACTATTCAAGAACAAATAGTACGCAGTTCTGTGTGAAGTATTTAGTTAGCTAGTATTCCATTGCAAACAGCCTCAGGCATCAATTACTTGGAAGAGTGTATGGAAGTGAATTACACTTAAAAATGTGCAACTAGTATGCAATGTTCCTTTAACAAGAGCAGTGAGACACATTTGATGATATACAGCCAAAACGTGCTAAAAGCAGGTCAAATTTAGTGACATTTCTCATTTAAAATCCAATTTTTGAACAGTCAGATCAGATTCAAGTAGTTCTTTTTCATGATTTGGGACATCATCAGAGTTGCAAAATGATAAGTGCGAGTAATCAGTAATAAAGATTGGAATGTCGAAAAATAACAGGATACTACTGTTTAAAAGATTGTAGTCAGTAAGATTTGTTTTAATGTTTTTGAATAATACAGTAATATTGTTCAATATTATTATAATTTAAAATAACTGTTTTCTATTTGAATATGTTTTAAAACGAATTTATCCCCGTGACGTTAAAGCTGAATTTCCAGCATCATTACTCCAGTCTTCAGTGTCACGCGATTCTTCAGAAATCATTCTAATATGTTGATTTACTGCTCAAGACAGCAGTTGTGCTGCTGAATATTTTTGTGGAAACCTTGATACATTTTTATTTTTCAGGAATCTTTAAAAAAAAAAATAGAAAGTTCAAAAGAACAGCATTCATTTGAGATAGAAATCTTTACTGTCACTTTGGATTAATTTAATGCATCCTTGCTGAATAAAATAGATTTCTTAAAAAATAAAAATAAAAATCTTACTGACCCCAACCTTTTGAACAGTAGTGTACAGTATATGCAGTGTGAACAAAGCCAACCAGCATCTAAAATGTGACACGCTAAAGACTAATTAGTTTAGTCACACTCGTCTCATCACGTGGAAGCAGTTTTCTGACCCGTGGAAGAGCCTGGACCCTTTCCAGACTTTAGGACACTAAGGGAAGTATAGTGACCCCTGATAACACCTATCACTCAGAAGCATCACGGGTGTCATGGAGCGACAGATTCAAAGTGCAGAAGTATGGACGCAGGTCGTGAAACGTGTTACAAAGGCAACGCCAACTACTTTTATTCCAAGACCATCATCATCACCATCATCCGAAACATCGAGGGAATCGTACAGAAGAAAAGGGGCAATAGAGACGCTAAACAATAAAACAAGGCATTTAAATACTAGTACAAGATTATTGGCACAGTCCTTTTGGTCACACACTGTTTGGACGACTTCTTCGTGGCTTAGATATTATTTAAGGGAGCTGACGACGTAACGCAACCTCGTTTGAGGATTCAAAACTGCTCAGCTAAACTGCTCGACGCCGTTTTTTCTTTCTTTCAGAAACACCATCGTCACTGCTAAGAGTGGAATAGTTACTGTACATTTAGCGGCCATTAGGGAAAGGAAACGGTTGTCACCCCTGTATGAGGCTTCCCATTTCTTATAAAAGCAGATCTAAAAGGACCTGATCGGTGCGGTGTGTGTGCTGGAGGCGTGTACAGCAAGAAAGGAAAAAAACCTCAGTCACAGTGTGCTCAAACACCACGAGCATGCAGACAACGCCAGGGTCTGACACAACGGCATTCTGTGGCAGGCAAACGATATTAAGAGTCAAGACGTCGAGGCAGATCCCGGGCCAGTCTCAAGCCTTGGGCTGTTGGGATCAAGAGAAGGAGATTCGGCCAGGCTGGACTCGGTGGGCGGCAGCCTACTCTTATTCTCACTTGTTCTCGATAAGGGTCTGCACTTTGTGTACCAGCTCCCGCGCTATTCGGAGGATGTGCTGCACGTCGTGGCGCTCGGCCATCTCTGTTAGAGAGGAACACAAAGAATACAATTACTCAATAGACTGATACTTTCAAATGGCCACATGCTGCATTTCCGGTTTAAAACTTAAAACTGTTGTGCTGTGATATTTTAAAGCTGAAGTTTGTCATTTGTGACCCTGGACCACAAAAGCAGTCTCAAGTCGCTGGGGTATATTTGTAGCAATAGCCAAATATACATTGTATGGGTCAAAATTGATTTTTCTTTTATGCCAAAAATCATTAGGATATTAAGTAAAGATCATGTTCCATGAAGATATTTTGTAAATTTCCTACTGTAAATATATTAAAACTTCATTTTTGATTGGTAATATGCATTGCTAAGAACTTCATTTGGACAACTTTAAAGGCGATTTTCTCAGTATTTAGATTTATTTGCACCCTTAAGATTCCAGATTTTCAAATAGTTGTATCTCGGCCAAATATTGTCCGATCCTAACAAACCATACATCAATGGAAAGCTTATTTATTTAGCTTTCAGATGATGTATAAATCTCAATTTTGAAAAATTTACCCTAATGACTGGTTTTGTGGTCCAGGGTCACATATTTTTGCTATGTTTTCTTTATATAATGGTAAAACATCTATTATAAACGGTCCATAAACAAGGGTTCAGGGATCGCCTGGGGGGCTGCAAGGAGATGCTGGGTGGGTCAGCAAAAAGAAAGTAACAAATTATTTTTATTTAAGGAATATCAAAGCTAGCGTTTTAACGGAAGATATTAATAAAAAAAAATATGTTTTAATGCATCTGTAACACATTTACAGTTTTTGATAAGATTATTGTTTCATTCTGCTTTCTAAGGACTAAAGTTGGAAGTCATTTATTGAGAAATGCTATGAAAATGGAATAGTATTTTTGTATAATTGAAAGTATTTTCTTCTATTATCTTCAGTATGATGACCAAATAAAAGTCAATTATTGAATTTAGGAAACAACAATTATAGCATCAAACTTTATATTATTTTATTATATATATATTTTTTTAAATTCTAAAATACTTGCAATAAATGCTCTCTCATTCTTCAAACAACATTTGCTAGAAGCAATTTCTCTTTCAAATAAATGCTGCTCTTTTGAACTTCCCATTCATTAAATAATCCTAAAAGAAAAATCACTGTTTCCACAAAATTAATAAGCAGCAATATCAGGAATAAATTACATTTTAAAATAGATTAAAACAGTCTTTTAAATTGTAATAACATTTCACAATATTCCTGTTATTACTGTATTTTTGTTTTTAATTTTGTTGCTTTCAAAAAAATATTTAGTTATAACACATTACTAACATTGAACAGCGGCCAATGGAGAAAGTTGGCTCAACCAATTGCATGAGTTTGGGGTCTGTTCTGTTCAATCTGTTCTGGTTAATCAATAGAAGTGGAAATGGAAAATCTGTTCAGCTCTGTTCAGTTCACTCACCATTAAAGAACTTGATGATGTCAGTGAAGTCCATGTTGTTGTCCAGGATAATGTCCCTGTACACCTCCACCAAGGCCAGTGCAATGAACAGGACAAAGTGCTTGGAGGAGATGCGAGGGGCGACCCAGATGACCTCCCATACTGCAAACACATCCTCATAGAGTAGCTCTGACACAGACACGCAAGATACACAGTACGTTAAGCAATGAAGGTACAATCTGAGATACAGTATCTTCACTGTGTTTGAAAACACACAGGCTCTATTTCAGTGTTGTTACCTCTTTTGAAGTCCAGGAGGAACCAGCGGTAGCAAAAGTAGAAATGGGTGTAATCTCCATTCTGATGCATGAGCTCAAACAACTCTGAGTCAAAGATCTGAGGGGAGAGAAAGAAAAAAAAACCCTCAATGTTCAGAACTCATGTCACAGATGGCATCAGAAGAACAGACAAATCAGAGCGCTGACTCAGGCAGGAAGAGGGAGAAGAGTCACATGTCATGTTACCTGTATTAGTGACCTCATATTGGCAAAATGAGTGTCCATGGCTCCTCCAGTCGGGAAATTCTGACTCATTCTTTTCATTAGCTGAGTGAAACAGCTGTAGGCCAAGCACTCTTTAGGGGGATTAAAAAGAAGAGAATATAATTATACAAATATTATATTTTATATAGAATTTTAACCTAAAATATTAATGTTTAAAAAAAGTTTAAAAATACATTAAATAGATTTAAATATATGAAAGTTAGATATGACATCAAATTAGGCCAAGCACTTCAGAACAGGTTAAAGAGAAGGGAATATAATTATAATAATATTATATTTTATATAGAATTTAATCTACATTCTTTTTATTGAAAAATTATATATATATGTATAATATTATCAAATGTTATAATATTAAAAAATACTAAATGTTATAATATATACTTTAAAATAATAATAAAATTGTAATGTTGAAAAAATATTTAACCTTAAACATAAAATTAATATATTATAATTTAAATATAAAAGTATACATTTATAAAACAGTTCTTTTGTGCGACAAATGATTTTAGAATTTCTTGTCGTCCGAATTCATTACATTTACATGTATGCATTTAGTATATCCAAAGCGACTTACAGAAGAGGAACAACTTAAGAAAACAATCAAGATTAGAGGAGCTAGATTAAGAAACGAGAGAAGAAAATGAGGATTTGTTTTGTGTGTGTGTGTGTGTGTGTGTAAGAGCTTTGGTTTATCGCTGTGAAGTGGTTAAGTGCTTGCATGCAGAAGAGGTGTCTTCAGCTGCTTCTTGAAAGTTGTGATGGTCTCAGCAGTTCATGTGGATCTTATCATTTTTTTCATATATTTATAATAAATATACAAGTCAAGGATGTAAAACATTAAGACGTGCCTACGTCTGTCTGTCTATTATGTTTAAGTGTCTTACTCACCATCATCCAGAATGACCATCAGTGGTGCTAGAAGGTCACACATGCCTTGCACATAGCCAATCTCCAGATGTTCCCACACGTAACTAGATCATAAAACAGGGACAAAGACGTGAGAGACTGAGGAAGACTGAGCCTCAGCTCAGCTGAATTAGAAAATTAGTTACAGTCTGTGATTTATGTTTCAGTTAATCTAACAGACTGACTGATTTGAAATTCAATGAGCTGCTATTCTGAGAAACGCACAGGCAAGTGAGAACACAAACAGATCACAGAGATCAACTCGGTCATCTACTGACCTGCACATGATGTTGCGCAGTTTCTCCAGGTTGCTGGTAGTGAAGTAATAGTAGTTGCGATCGCAGCGCTGAACGTCTTTGTCTATTCTGTGCAAGTTCAGCGCCACCGTGTCCAACAGCTCAATCTGCTCACAAGTACATTGATAAAACTATTGACCAGATTTGTGAAATCTCTAGTTCAGAGGTCAATAAATCATTGACATTTACAAGTCACATTTTGTGCATAGCGTGATCAACGTCGCTCTGTAATAAACTATGGTGTGTCAGTGCATTAAACAGTGCATTACTGTATAAGAAGAGAAGGATGGTGCAGTGCCCTCTGCGGTGGTTGTGAGTTTGTCCAGCTGACTGCAGAGTTTGTCCTCACTCAGAGAGTCCCGTCCACCCTGCTCCTCCAATACCGCAGTGGGTGTTGTATCCTCCTCCATGCTCTGTCCGTCATCGATGCTGGACATGATTTGGGAATGTCCAGATGCTACAGAGTAGTTCCTGGAGGAGGGCAGGCCTGAATCTGGAGAGTCAAACTCCACCAGCGGCCTCTCGTCTGGGGCTAGCATGGCCGGGGTAACCACAGTGGTTAAGGTGGGAGTACTTTCTCCCTCACACGAGGTGTCGTGACCCCCCGCGTCAGGCTCATCCACGGACATGAATACCTAAAGAGAGAGAAGAGATGGGATGGATGGGATACGACGATGCAATAAGACGCTAGATTTACCTCAGGCTATCTAGAATCCAAGTGCTGAAACGTGTAATCAAAAAATATACTGAAATTAACTGCAAGTAAGCAAGGAACTCTATTTTGTGTGCCGTATAGAGGTTCTGCATAGTAAGAGTAAGACAGTCCCAAAAAGAATTCACTTACGAGATTCTGTGAGCGTTAGGATGGTGCCTATGTAGGCAGTAAGGCAGGTTGCTAGGTTTGTAAGTAAATAGCCTTTATATGCTTAAACAGAGCTTGCAACTGACCTCGTTGCTAATAGTGGAGTCCCTGTGGAGGAGTCTGAGGACGTGGCTGTCTATACTGCTCCCTGACGATAACTTGGAAAAGATGGCCGACTGCATCTCTTTCTCCCGCTGCTTCACTATGACCTCACATGCCTTCCACTCCCGCATCACCTGCTGATACCTTGCTGTGATCTTCTCATCAATCTGTGAAACACACAAGGGCACATCAGACAATCAGAACGTACATCACACCAGGACAAAATATTTACCCTTGCGAAAAAGAAGTGTGCTTAATTGCATGGAACATGCACTTGTAGTGTACTTTTAATCAGTATATATCTGTACGCAATATTAATAAAATAAAAGGCCACTTAAGTGTACTTTAAGAGAATACACTGTTTCTTAACACACTTAAGTACACTTCCTATAAATCTTTACCTGAGCCATGTCTTTCTTGTCCATCCCAAACTTGTAGTGGCCCAGAAGAAACGGCCACACTTCCTTTCTGATCTCATGCTCCACCCCTCCATAGTAAACCAACCTCAGCAGCTCCAGCTCATTATAATTCTGGCAAGAGAGAATAAGGGACAGATGGAGACAGCGGGACTACTGCAACCTATGGTAGATGTCACTGACCGCTAGTACCCTTTAGTGACCGGAGCTGAAGAGTACTAGGCTAACCTTACAGTCTTTCTGATATTTACTCCACACATCTTTGCTGAGCCCTCCAGAGGCTTCACAGGGCTTGTCCGGAGGGACAATGTTGTGGTTGACCAGTGCTGAAAGGTGCGTCCTCACAGTGGACAGGTGCCGACAGTAGGCCAGCCCTACAGATGGAAAAGGGGCAAAAGAGAATTACAGCACTGTATGCACAGCTGAGGGGGTTTTATACTTATTGATATGAATAATTACACAGATTTTCTTTGTACTTACAGCCATAAAACGCTCGAGACACAATCTGTCTCTTCATATTTTGGCACAGCATCTTCAGTGGAATACTGGACACGGAAGGGAAACATCCGTTACATCTTTCAATGCAAAAATATATGCAAACTACAGCCAAACTGCATATATATTGCACTCATTAAAATATTTAACATATGGTGTGTGTTTTTTTTTGTGTTTTTTTTTAATTTGGGGACTTTTATATGCCAGGGAAAGTGACTTGTCTTGGAAATTTTTCATTATGCTTTTAGCACTGGTTTTTGCTACTCAAAGCTGTTACATCCTAAAATGAAAATTCACTGACATCCAAAACAAAGAATAGTTATTGTGTGATAATGATTTGTACAAATCTTCACAAAAAAAAAAACTTTCTGTCTGTCAGATGTGGCATCATTCTCATCATAAAGTTTTCACTGTGGTTAGTGTCAGAGTCAGTAAAGACCTTGAAATGAAAGAAAGAAAAATTAAGAAAATTGTCACCCTTCTGTGTCATTTCCTGTAAATTGAAATAATAATGCGCAAGTGTGAAAATATGATTTAATTGTACATATTTAGGAAGCATTAAATGCTAAGCAAGACAAAGTTGTCTGCCATTTTAGGTTACACTTTACTTGAAGGGGTGTACATAAGACTGACATGACACCTTCATATTCCAAAAATATAAAAAAAATATTTTTCACCACATAATAACAAAAACAATACATGGTGGAAATGACAATATTATATAAAATTATATGATACATATGATTAAAAGAGTTACTTTAAGCTGGTATGCATTAAATTGCTGTTTTTAAAACTTTCTATTCGTCAAAGAATCCTGTAAAATAATTAATAAAAAAAACATTTTTTGTTTAGTTTCTTGAGTAGCAAATCAGGATATTAGAATGATTTCTGAAGGATCATGTGACACTGAAGACTGGATTAATGATTGCTGAAAAATCATTTTAAATAATTAAATTACATTTGAGATTTGTATTAAAATACAAAACAGTTGTATTAATATTTAACAATATTATTGTTTTTATTGTATTTTTTAACAAATAAGACTCCCCAGGACCAGAAGTGTAAAAGCACAGCTCTCTCACCGGTCATGCATGCAGGTACAGCTCGCTGGAAGCTTGACGGAAGCGTTGCTGCCCCCAGTGGAGCAGGACAGACAAGATGACATATGACTGGTGCACTCGCCCTGCTGCCATGACAACGGGCTGCCGCCAAAACCCTGCATCTCCATCATGTCCCCGTGGTCTATTAGGGCGTGGGAGTGGAATAGATGGAAAAGAGGCAGAGCGAGAGAAAGATGAATAAGCAAACATGAAACCTGCTCTAGTAACCTGGCATTTGAAGAACATATTTGAGATATATCATTATTAATATTACTAGGATCATTGAAAATGGGTATTTTCTTTCCTCTCAAATCTACTCTAAAATAAGAAGCTGTTGTACGGTGGAAAGCTGCCATACGGGGATTCACTGCACATCCCAGACACCATAAAACATCTCTACTGGAAATTAGGCTCTTACAGCTGGACTGGAATGGCCATAAAGCATCATATTTAGCTCAAAAGCATCAGATTCACTGAATTACAGGCCTCAGCTCAACCATGAGATCATTAAGGAAGAGAAAAATTGAATCCTAAACTGCATTTAAATATATCTGATTTGAATGTTTTATATATTTAGCTATTTGTTCATTTTGAATGGTATTCAGATTAGGGCTGTCAATCAATTAAAGAAATACATTACATTAATTAAATGATATATCAATTAATTAAAATTAAATATAATTACTCACATATCAATTTTGATTGAAAAAACATCGAATTTAAAATAATTTAAAGACATTATTGTGGCAGATGTAAATCACTTAATAGACATTAAAGTGCCCCTATTATGCCATTTTTAAGGTTGCTAATATTGTTTTATGAGTCTCCTTAAACAGGTTTACATGCATGCAAGGTCAAAAAACACGTTAGTTTTCTCAAAAAATAGACTTAATTTTACCTCATTTCTAAATTATTCGTAAAAGACTGGTGCAAAGCAGTTCAAAGAATCAGTCTCTCTAAACCCCTCCTTTCCGTGAGCCCTCACTGCTGTGATTGGTCAGATGGCGCAGTCCTTTGTGATTGGTCCAGAGCCGTAGAGCGATTGGCTCTGGATTGGTCTACCGCGTACAGCGCGTGTCGGAAACGAAAAGCCCATTGCCATGACGGAATGACAGCCCTGGAGACTTGTCAATACATAGAAAAGATGCTATCGATTGTACCTTAACCATTCGAGTTGGGAGTCTGATGATGAAACGCTTGAAGTGGCTCGACTCCTTTAGGCGATTGCGAGCCGACTCTTTGTTTTGATAGACAATAACTTTATTTATTGTGCACTGTCAGCTTCACAACTTAGCAGATAGTTTATGTTCACATACAGCTACATGACACACTGCATGAAAGGTAATATTCGAAAAGGCATAATAGGGGCACTTTAAGAAAAGTGTCTCTAGATGTTGATATATGCTTTTTATTTCCATATTTTTTAACATAAAACTATCCGTTTATACATAGGGGCTGTTTACACACAGCTTGCTTTTGCATTATGTCTGCAGTGTGTTTTTTAAACATTAGTCCATGTACAAATGTGCATCAGTAGAGTCAAGTCTTGCTGTTTTTTAGTATCTCTCACCATGAGAACTGTGGTTTTAATACACCATATCTCCAGTTTGGCTTCCTAAACGTTTCTTGATATCCCTTTTTTCTGTTTGATTCTGTTGTTTTTAATAAGAACACATTGCCTGCACTCCATAAGTGTGGTTTACCAAAAGGCGTTGCCTAAAGTTTGTACTTTAAGCTTGAAGTGCTCTGTTTAACATTTAGGTGGGGGGCATTATTAATTGCATATTTTGTTCTATTTAAAATAATACCACTAAATTAAACATGATAAATTGACAGCCCTAATTTAGATGTAATTTTCTTTCTAGATATTACTTGCTGTCAGAAATGGCATTAACCAGATGTCCTTAAACACACATAATGAAATCAAAGCAAACCAGAAGTATAAGGTTATCAAAAACATGCATCTATGAATGAACAGAAGGAAAAGGTGTAAAACGATGCGGGGATGCCATGCCAGGAGACCTGCCAATCAATCGATCAATAAATCACAGTGTCACAAATCAAGCCAGGCACTGGTAGAGCTTTGAGAGGAGTATAGAAGGACAGACAGTAACCATTCCTACCATGCTGGATGCATCAGATTAAACCATGACAAAAATAAAGACAAATAAAGAAGAGGAATGTATACTGTGTGTAGTTGTATAAAACGTGAAGAGTGTGAATCAGCTGAACCAAAAGAGTCGATAGTAAATGTAAATGCTCTTCACCTTAATTCTTCAGGTTGGAGCTGGTGACCTGCTATACACTGGTTGTAAGCAAAATAACAAGGTGGACGGAGAGCATGTATTCACTATCTGTTCCTAAAAGTCTGACGTGGGCTATGGGACTTTGGTAAGGCTATGATCGAATGGGCGACACGTTCACGGAACGATTCATGTGTCTACTACACCAGAACCCCACAGGACCTAACTGATATAATGAAAGGTGACTGCAGTTAGTGAAGAATTACAGTGAACAGCATTGCAGAAAACCGGCTCAACACAGGAGGAACACCAAAACAACAACACCAACTCAAACCAAAGAGGAAAAGAGAGAATTCATAAAGGGAAGGAGACACGGTTGTGACAAGTAAGCAGTGGAGCACATTCGCCGCAAAGATTAAAACAAAAAAGAAACATAACACATAACGTGCAGATTCGACATGCAAAGCCCTCAAGCATTTGCCAGTGAAACCAAATAAAGACACAGAACCTAAAAATAACCAAGACTTCTCTAAGGACTTACTCATGTCAACCAAAGAGTGCAAAAGGAAAACAGCAAATCATTGCTGAAGCATTGCTGCCTGGCCACCACAGTCAGGCCCAACAGTGCAGAGAGGAGGAGAGTCTGAACTCCACAAACACTATTCAGTCCCACACATCATACCTCCTAGGTCAGTCAGGTGGTGTTGGTTTATGTGTGTGAGAAGGAAAAAGGACAAAGGCAGAGTAGTAGTGTGACAAAGTGTGACAACGTGGCAGGGCAGTGGAAGCTCTCCAGACTGTGAGTAAGGTCAGCGTAGGTAACCCCTGGCAACGGAGGCGTGGAGGGAAAAGAGTGACGACAGAGGAGGAGAGTGAGTCAGGGGGGAGAGAGAGAGAGATGTGCGCTGTACTGACCTTACACACACACACACACACACACATACTTCAGTTACAAACCCAAATGTGAAAAGGGATATTCAGGTTTTGTGTGCATAAAAGAATATAATATAATATATTATAATATTGTTTTCATATTTTGTAAATTAATTAAAATGTTTCAACATTTTGTCCCCTTGGAATTATAAGGTTCTATCTGCATTCCGAGTAGTTTTGAGATACATTAAAAGTTTTTGCATTCCATTCGACTGTGTAGATAGAACCTTTTTATTTTTTAAATATGTACACAACATTACAAAATCTATCACATAATGTAAATAAGTTGTCACAGAATAAGAATATGTGAATAACTCAATTTTGACAAAAATGTCAGCTAGAACCGTATAATTCCAATGGGACGATTTATATATTATGTGAATTAAATCAATAAATAAATGTTTCATATTTTTCATTTTTTTTGTCCTAGATTTGTAATAAATATATTGTACTTCATTATATTTAAAGTAAAGTAAAATAAAATAATAAAATAAGATAAATATTCTTCAACATTCATATTATATGAATTAAATGAATAATAAGAATTTTTCCTGCATAGTTATTTAAGGTTAAAATTATACATATTTTAGCAAAATAGATTTTTTTTACACAGATATAAATATTGTGCTTATAACAATTTATTACATTTAATAACTAAAATAAAATAAGAAAATAATTTTTAAAATGTTTTAACATTCAAATTATGTAAATAAAATCAATAATTAGAATTTTATGACCTAGCTATTTTGGGTTAGAACTATATACATTTGAACAAAATAGATTTGTTATACATATACATATTGTAATTATAATAATTTATTACATTTAATACAATAAATAAAATACAAAAAAAAAAATAAAAATACATTTAAATAGTGAAGAATTACAGTGAACAGCATTGCAGAAAACCGGCTCAACAGAGGAGGAACACCAAAACAACAACACCAACTCAAACCAAAGAGGAAAAGAGAGAATTCATAAAGGGAAGGAGACACGGTTGTGACAAGTAAGCAGTGGAGCACATTCGCCGCAAAGATTAAAACAAAAAAGAAACATAACACATAACGTGCAGATTCGACATGCAAAGCCCTCAAGCATTTGCCAGTGAAACCAAATAAAGACACAGAACCTAAAAATAACCAAGACTTCTCTAAGGACTTACTCATGTCAACCAAAGAGTGCAAAAGGAAAACAGCAAATCATTGCTGAAGCATTGCTGCCTGGCCACCACAGTCAGGCCCAACAGTGCAGAGAGGAGGAGAGTCTGAACTCCACAAACACTATTCAGTCCCACACATCATACCTCCTAGGTCAGTCAGGTGGTGTTGGTTTATGTGTGTGAGAAGGAAAAAGGACAAAGGCAGAGTAGTAGTGTGACAAAGTGTGACAACGTGGCAGGGCAGTGGAAGCTCTCCAGACTGTGAGTAAGGTCAGCGTAGGTAACCCCTGGCAACGGAGGCGTGGAGGGAAAAGAGTGACGACAGAGGAGGAGAGTGAGTCAGGGGGGAGAGAGAGAGAGATGTGCGCTGTACTGACCTTACACACACACACACACACACACACACACATACTTCAGTTACAAACCCAAATGTGAAAAGGGATATTCAGGTTTTGTGTGCATAAAAGAATATAATATAATATATTATAATATTGTTTTCATATTTTGTAAATTAATTAAAATGTTTCAACATTTTGTCCCCTTGGAATTATAAGGTTCTATCTGCATTCCGAGTAGTTTTGAGATACATTAAAAGTTTTTGCATTCCATTCGACTGTGTAGATAGAACCTTTTTATTTTTTAAATATGTACACAACATTACAAAATCTATCACATAATGTAAATAAGTTGTCACAGAATAAGAATATGTGAATAACTCAATTTTGACAAAAATGTCAGCTAGAACCGTATAATTCCAATGGGACGATTTATATATTATGTGAATTAAATCAATAAATAAATGTTTCATATTTTTCATTTTTTTTGTCCTAGATTTGTAATAAATATATTGTACTTCATTATATTTAAAGTAAAGTAAAATAAAATAATAAAATAAGATAAATATTCTTCAACATTCATATTATATGAATTAAATGAATAATAAGAATTTTTCCTGCATAGTTATTTAAGGTTAAAATTATACATATTTTAGCAAAATAGATTTTTTTTACACAGATATAAATATTGTGCTTATAACAATTTATTACATTTAATAACTAAAATAAAATAAGAAAATAATTTTTAAAATGTTTTAACATTCAAATTATGTAAATAAAATCAATAATTAGAATTTTATGACCTAGCTATTTTGGGTTAGAACTATATACATTTGAACAAAATAGATTTGCTATACATATATACATATTGTAATTATAATAATTTATTACATTTAATACAATAAATAAAATACAAAAAAAAAATAAAAATACATTTAAATTATGAAAATAAAACCAATAACTAGAATTATTTTGGGTTAGAACTATATACATTTGAACAAAATAGATTTGTTATACATATACATATTGTAATTATAATAATTTATTACATTTAATACAATAAATAAAATACAAAAAAAAAAATAAAAATACATTTAAATTATGAAAATAAAACCAATAACTAGAATTATTTTGGGTTAGAACTGTTCATTTTAGCAAAATAAATTTGTTGTACATATATACATATTGTACTTATAACAATTTCTTACATATAAGATTAAAATAAAATAATATAATATATCATAATAAATGTTTTTAATAATAAAACATTTTACATACCTAGCTATTTTAGGTTGGAACTCTAGACAATTTAACAAAAAAGATTTATATTAAGCTGCTGTATATGCTACATTTAAATACTTATAATATCCAACATAGGAGTGGGTGGCATTTAAGTCAAATTTATGATACAGTAATCTGTCCCAACACTGGCTTACTGTCTAAATCCACATTCTTAAGTGCTCTTGTGGTATCTAGTGCCTTCTCATTGGGCCAACATCTGTTTAACGTACTAAATGTAGATTTTCTGCATTCTCGCTAGTATATCCCTTGTTCTCTTGTGCAGTGGAATGTATGTGTGCCCCACTCACTCACGGTCTTGTGCCACTTGACCTAGCAGCAAATATTACCATGGTTACCATGCATACAGATCAGGCCAACAACTTTAAGAATGACAAGTGAACCATGACGCCCGAGGCGCCTATTGTGTCTCAATCTGCCCTCACTGACTGACAACCGGCCGCACTGCTGGGTCGCTGCTTGTAGGAACCAGGTAACAGTTGGGATGGAAAGAAAGAGGGAGGAGAGGAAGAGAATGAAGTGGGCCAGTGGTGATAAAAACCTTTCATGACATTAGGATCTGTGAGGTTCCGTGAGCAGATCATAGAGATCATAGCGTGAAGTCTATCTTCCTCCTCCTCATCGTCGTCCAGAGAGGGCGCACGGCTGCCCGTGGTGTGGTGGTAGTTTATAGTGACTGCTTGGGCAATAAAAGAACACAGTTTAGCACCCGCCTCTGAAGCGAAGACATGTTCCACTCACACACTGCAAAAAAAAATCATTTTTAAATCAGTACTTTTGTCTTGTTTTGCTGTAAAGTATATAAACATGCTTAAAATGAGCAAAATTACATAACATATTAATACTTGTTTTCAGAGAATGCAATCATGGATTAGCATTTATTTGAACAGTTTCTTCTTATTTTAAGCCTAATTTTAAGCCTTAATAAATTTAAGATTATTAAACTTAAATTTAAAAGTTTAAAAAATATTTTTAGATTTATGATCAAAACAGAAAAAGGTCATCTTAAATTTTAAAATTAAGATCTTAAAATTAATTATAAATGAATAAAAAAGAATTTCAAATAATTCTATTTTTTAATGATTATTTATTGAATTAAAAATGTAATTCAAGATATGTTCTTAGAAAACAAGGCTTTATGTCTTAAGCAATTTTATTTCTCAAGTAAATAGATCGTGTTTTGAGAATGTTTGAATATTTTAACTGGAAAACAAGACAAAAAAGAAGAAGATTTTTTTTTTTTTGCAGTGCATACATACACACTATAAAAAGGAGCACTGTCATCCTAGTCAGAACAGTTGAAAATCTAAAGGCTGCGTCTAATACTCACATCCCTCCCAGCAGCCTCCACAAGGGCTGTTATGTTCCACAGAAAAGTGAGAACAAAACACACAGACAACAATGATATGCGGGGATGGTGTCTGATGCAGCCCTGTTCAGCATTCACACATCCGGGAAATCAGGTCTGGCTGAACAGTGGCTGCGAGTGATAGATGGATATATGAGTATTTAGAGGGTTTAAGATGTAGACTGGCCCCCTAAAAAGTACTTTTTTAAAGTCACACTTAAAATTATATAAATTTAATTCTAATGCAAGATTCATGCATTTTATGTGTGGCTTTGAAGTGTTTAATGCTTTTGGGGTCACTGTGGATGGATGGACGGATGGATGGACAGATATTGTGTGTGTGAAGAGAGACCGAGACAGAGATGTGAAGAGGACAGGCACATTTCTGCTGAAACTCACTTGAGTCGTGACGGTGCCCCGGATAGACGATGCGAAACACATAGTCTGCAGCGATCTGCTCCTCTCCATCTCCATCCTGATCTACTAAACGGGCCGTGCTGTTCCTCTTACGAAGCTTAGGGAAGACTTTACCCTGTTAGGCAAACACAGAGAGTCATAATCAAACTAAACTCAGCTTCTCACTTCAAATAAGGAACATTTTGTAATTAATTTGCAATGTGTCAACAAGCAATTTAGCATTACATCACTTCCTCACCAGTGGATCCTCTGCAGTGAATGGGTGCCGTCAGAATGAGAGTCCAGACTGCTGATAAAAACATCCAGAAGTAATTAATGTTTTGTAAAACAAAAAAATGTGTGTTTGTAAGAAACAACAACATTAACTGATGGACTGGAGTCGTGTGGATTGCTTGTGGATTATTATGATGCATTTATCATCTGTTTGGACTCTCATTCTGACGGCACCCATTCACTGCAGAGGATCCACTGGTGAGCAAGTGATGTAATGCTAATTTTCTTCAAATCTGTTCCAATGAAGAAACAAACTATTCTACATCTTGGATGGCCTGAGGGTGAGTAAATGTTCAGCAAAGGTTCAGCACATTTTAATTTTTCGGTGAACTATTTCTTTAATGAATTGGATGTTTGAAATGCTGCTGACACATCTAAACATTCTGTTACATGATATATCTAATATGATGCAGCAAAACACTCACCTTGCCCTTCTGGGACCAGAGGGGGGGCTCAAGCTGACCCCGGGGCAGTAGACCCGTCTCCAAACAGGACAGGAAAGCCAGCAGGTGACCCCCAGGAGGGAAGTGCAGAGGAGGCCGCTGGATCCCATCCTGACTTACTAACACCAGAGTACCCCCACAGTCCGCTGAGAGAAATTCACATTTATAAAAAATATATATATATATATAACATAATATAACAAAATTATTAATCTGTGATAAAATGTGAATTTATTTCAGTATCAATACTTGATGCTGAAATATGTGCTACATTGAAGCTAACAATCTGGCAAATTTTATATATAATTAATATAATATAATATAATATAATATAATATAATATATAACTGCTGAAGCTAACAATTTTGTCAAAGATGTAGACTCACGGCGCTGGTGACAATGAATGCAGACGATCTGTCTTAAAGGCACAGTCAAAGCGTAGTCCCAATAAATACTAAAGTGTGACAAGAGGGTGATAAAAAACATTGAGAAAGAGAGAGAAATTGAGAGAGCCTGAAAAGGTTTCTGTTAAAACAGATCAGTGAAATAATCAATGTTGTTTTGCTCACATTTAGATGTCTATTTATTCCTTACAAACATATCAACCTTATCATTACACACCAGCAATCAGCACATCAGGACACTCAACTTAGGCTTTTCCTGTCCATCCTCTGTAAAAGCAATTGCTTTGCCCTGCCTAGCAATCTCGGACCAATCAATTCAGTTCCTACATGTCAAGCGCAGTCGTGGCAAAATGAATCGCAGTGATTGGTCATCACAAATCATAACTAACTCTTCCGGCCCATTTTACCTGATGACCTAATTTACCTGAATTCCCCCTGTGTGTGTGTGTACAGCATATTTTACCTCTTCTCCAGGTCACAGTCTCCCAGAGTTCCATTGATTAGCTGATTGGGCGTCCACTTCAGCGTGAGTGTTTCAGCCGTCTGATGAAGGGACAGGTAACCACGCAGCACCTCCATGTCCTTCTTCTGCAAAGAACAAAGTCTATTCAATAAAACACAGCGGCTTCCCCAACTCCTCTAAAATAACTAGCATAATCAGCAGCCTTACACACTTTTCTTTGTTTAGAAGTTAACATACAAGGAAAAGAGCAACAAAAAGGAGAAAAAGGTGTCAGATCAAAAGAATGAAAGAAAAGTGAGTGTTATAAGCAACAGAGTGCCATAAATAAAACGTCTCTGACGATTCACGGTGATGATGAGAGCTGCGAAACGCATCAGGTTTCACACAGAAATCCAATTAAACCTGAATCACTGCAATCCTTTTGGCAAGGGTCGTTTACACTATTGATTTCTACAAGTCCTTGCCAGACCCAGCACTCTCTGTGCCCAGTTGCATCAGTCACCGTTGCAAATCTCACAAACACTTTCATGCACACATCCAGTCCATGCCTGACTCATTTGATGACAAATCTAATGTGGTGTAATGGCTAATCCAGTCTGCCTTTTCCAGTTCACAAGAGTAGCCAACTAGCAGCCGGGAAGTCAGCATGGGCCAGGGAAAGCCATCTGACCATTCATTACACAAGGGAAGACAACATTTTGAATAGTTCTACCTACCTACACCACTGCGGCTCAATTCCCATAACCAGCAGACCTTGAGATCCATTATATTGATTAGATGAGATTCACTGATCTACAATCAATCTCTTTTGTTACAGCCATCTAAAGATCTGTAGATGCAAATCAAACTAGTTTTCCTGTAAGTGTATTTGCATCTGTGTGTGTGTGTGTGTGTACACTGTCTTACCGGTTGAACGAGTACATTGTTTTTTCCGTAGAGCAAGTGAACACGTGAGTTTTGGTGCAGGGATTCAACGTACTCTCTGGCCGAGGCTGCAAACTTGTCCTCAGACATGCTTCCTGAGGACTGACGCTTTCGGATCTGAGGAAAAACCATGAATATGAGATATCTATGCAGTTTAAATTGATTATTTACTAAAACAAAACTACTGCACAATCACCCCTATACGTATGATATTCTCACCCCAAGTGCAGGCCTGCGGGCCGGCGACACTTCTTGACCCCTGTGGGCCCCGTGAATGCGATGCCGCTGGACCAGCTCATTGGCTGACGGGTCTGTCCAGAAATGATCCGATGTCTTGAGCTTAGTGTACTCCAGAGCGCAAGGCCCAACTATAGATGATAAAAAATATCAATTTCACATAAAACAACTTGTAATGTGATAAAAAAAAATGTCAGAGAGAATTATAATAAAATAATGAAAGCTAACACTATTTGAAAAATTGTTTCACAATCTCTTTTCACTGAACATAGATCTCTTCAGTGATCTATAAATCTCTATTAGCTGCATTATGAGTAGATAGAGTGCATTTTATGCATTAGATAGACTCACCCAGCAGTGCCGCCAGTATAGGGCCAAACACTGAGTCGTGCATGAGGGCCTCCTTTTCATAATACTTACTACAGACACACACAAACAGCAAACAAACAATGTGTACGTCAATAACCAGAGACCTCTTTCAAAGGCTGAACAAATAACACATTATTTCACGAGCGCCATGTGACAGTCCAAACAATCACCATGGACAAATGATAAATTTCAAGCCTTAATCTTGGCAAATAACACTTTGCATAAGAGAGATGAGCAATGCATGTTATGCAGTCACTATTATTTAAGAAAAAAATAGGCATACACAGATATTAAAATTCCACCTGATATCAATAAGATGATTATTTTAAAATGTTTAATGTTATGCTAATAACAGGTACATGTTTGGTATTAAAATTCTTTATTATTTTGACTAAATAAATAAAATAATAAATCACTCATAAATCAATCATTTTAAATATGCTAAAAGTGAATATAGGCATTGCAACATTATAATGTACAGTACAAAAAAACAGATTTTCATTTGTAGACTTGATAAAGATTGCAGTGTTTAATTTTTTTTTATCCTAAAAACTAAATACTAAGTTGCAGTACTGATGCTAATTACCTTGCATTATCCACAATATACTGCACAATTTTGTCCAGGACTTTATCAAAAAGGGCCGTGCGGACCCATATATGCTTGATGGCCTGTGCAGAGAGTGGCTGAGGCACTCGGCCAGCAGAGGACCCCTGCCTCCGGAGGGTCTCCTGTCCTGTGCTCTGGGTTCTCCTGAGAAAGACCATCAATAATACATTGATGCACAAGAATGCAAGTGTATATAACAAAAATGCACACAAAACATAAGCAAATAGAGTCATTACAAACCAAGTCTTATGTGACCAAATGGCACAATAGTAATAATTTGCACACATTTTCTCATCACTTAATAACAGTATTTATATCAATTTACAATTTTTCTTGGACATTCTCCGAACAAATTGCATGAATTTAAGAAAAAGTCTCCAAAAAAAAGTCACAAAAAGTGTGATTTTGCTATAACTAGGCCTTCCTTCAATCATTCTGTGCTTCTATTTTGTCCTCGTATAACCTGCTAAAATCCCATACTCACATTGCCTGGCCTTATGAAAGAAGCAAGAGACACAAAAGAGATTATGACTGTGCCTGCCAGTGGGTGTTTCTAAGTGTTTGTGAGTCCATATACTTCTCCATACTGCATCTCGACAGGATGACCTGGCTGCTCATTTACAACTGTGCAGGAGGGCCAGCAGAAGTCACAAAGCCCACTCGAACCCCCTGAGCCATTCACCCAGTGGATACAACACACACATATTCACACAATGACAGGGACGGAGCATGTGTCATCTCAAAAGACTCACCTAAGTGCATTAAAAGAGATAAATTCCGCATATAAAAGACTAAGTAACACAAGAGCTGGAACATCTAAGATTAGAGTTGCATCATCTGTCATAGAAGCCACTCAAACCATCAACAACAACAGTTACTCCTGAAAAGCATTTAGGACCAAATCCCCGCAATTACGCTAATATTCAAAAGTTTGGGAGCAGTAAGTGAGATTAATGCTTTTGTTCAGCAAGCATGCATTAAATTGACAAAAAGTGACAGTAAATTTCATTTCTATAAATTTCTATGCATTTTCTATTTCAAATAGATGTTGTGCTTTTGAATGTTCTATTCATCAAAGAATCCTGAGAGAAATGTATCATGATTTAAAATAATTTAAATTGTAATACTATTACAAAATATGACTGTTTTTACTGTATTTCTGAGCAAATAAATGCAGCCTTGGTGAACATAAGAGACATGAACATGAAAAAAATCTTACTGACCCCAAACTTTTGAACAGTATTGTATGTTTTGGCTGAGATTGCATCACAGCATTACAGTAACACCCTGTCCTAACTACACGATGCTGCGACATGTGATAAAAGGTATCTTTTCCATGTTAATCTGAGTTTTTGTCCTAACCAGCTGCGACAGCGACACACAAAGTTGAGAGCCAGACTCCAGCTCTAGGGTGACAGAGAGTCGTCGTTCTGCTCAGAGAAATGAAGAAATCACAGAAGAGCCAAGAAAAAAAATCTTGCTTTAGGGCACTGTCACAAACTAGTGTAGACTAGTGTAGTGTAGTTTTTTTTTCTTTATTGTTGTTTTGGACCCCATTGACTTTTATTGTATGGATAAAAACAATTATTGTTCTTCAATTATTGTATGTTTAACAAAAGACAGAAAAACATACAGGTCTGTATCAACATGAGGGTGAGTAAATAAATTATTCTGAGGTGAACAATCCCAGCTTTAGGCTGAAAATAAACCTGGAATATTCCTTTAAGCCAGTTTCTGTGACTAAGCCCGTCTGAGATCCATTCAGAGTCTGTGGAGAGTTGGGAGGACTGCTGTAATGTTGAGTGTGCCGATGAGAGAGTCCATCATGGGCGTAAGCCAATAACACCCCACAGCCATCAATCTCCCTCCAGCCCGGATATCACACTACATCACCGCTGCAGGCAAACCAGAGATGGATGAGTCTGCTGTCTGCGCCACAGCGCCCTCATCTTCTCTGATTTACATAAGCATTGATCGCATAACGGCCTACCACTTACACTGTGTGTGTGATTGCTGGCCGCAACAGTGGACATTCAATATAAACAAGCAAATAAATCCCTGCACCTGAGATGAGCTATGCAGATGCTATGGAGATGAAACTGTGCATTTCTGCTGCAAGAGCAATAATGTAGAGCATCCAGTGAAGCTTCAGAGGCCCATTAATAAAGATGCAGTGAGAAAGGGTTCATTGAGTCTGTTATGAATCCACAAATAGCACATATTTTTGTATAATGACGCTAAACCATATATTTAACTGCTGTTCATGGCAACATACAGATGCTACTTTCCATGGCCTCTCTTTTTATACCAACACAAATTAATTGCAATCTTTCAATCTTTTGATAGATGACTAGAAGTTCAGAAGTCTCTACTTATAAAGCAAGAAAACTTTTTTTCCCACAGAAAAAATTTACTTGAACTTCAAATTAACAATATATAAATTAAAGCTGTAATATTGTTGAGGTATTTGTCTTTTTGCTTGGCCGACTAGCTTTCTAATTTACACCTTCATGAGGCCATCTACTTCATGAACAGTTAAATTACATTTTCTCCCTACTGTGCAATAAAACATGTGCAATTCCCAACTATCTATACTTATATTTATTATACGTATGTTATTGATTTAATATATCTTACATCCATACACATTCCCTTGCATAACTGGTATATAGCACATCTGTACATACAATATACTGTCTAATGTCTTTTTGTCTATTGTGTATTGTTTTTACTAATTTATTTCTACTCACTTATTTTTATTTTGTTATCTGTGTCTTGTCACTTGTCAACCTGTCTGTGCACTGGAAGCCTCTGTCACCAAGACAAATTCCTTGGCAATAAAGCTCTTTCTGATTCTGATTCTGACATAATATAATAATTTTAACTTCACATCCATGTATTTAATTATTTGTTAACTTTAATTACAGATTACTAAAACTGTATTGATCTATATATAACCTATATACACTGTATTAATTACTAATACTGTATATATCAAATAAACAATAGTTACAAAACTATATATATATATATATATATATATATATATATATACAGTATATATATATAATATATATATATTATATATATATACATATATACACACACATACACACACACACACACACACACACACGTACATATATTTATACATTAAGTTTTTTATATAATTAAGATTTTTTAAAATGTTTTTATAAGAATATAAGAAGTCTGTTATATTATAAATGATTGAGCATTAAAAATAATTGACAATAACTGAGCAACACTCAGCATATTAGAGTGATTTATGTAGAATCACGTGACACTGAAAATTCTGCTTTGTCATCACAGAAATAAATTAAATGTTAAAATATATAAAACATACAAAACAGTCTTAAATTGTAATAATATTTCATATTTTTGCTGTTTTACTGTATTTTTTATTAAAAAAATTGTAGCCTTGGTGAGAACAAAAGACTTAATTATTTAAAAAATCTTATATAAAAACGAATTATAGTTGTGAAGCTAAATACGAGTGCAATAAATGAAATCATTTAAACAATGAAGTACAAACGTGTTTTGGGTGCAATACAACTCTCTTGCATAAGAAAGTAATGACATGGATTTGCTTTATTAGTCCTGAGTTTGAGCCCTGAATTGCTGCGGTAGAGGTATTCAATAACCAGCAAGCATCTTGTTGCTCTAGCAATGGTTACACCATGGTGTTGCTGTGGCAACGTGAGTAACCGAGTGAGTGCTGTGGGGGAGGGGTGCTTAAAATGGACAGGCAGGGAACACCGCAGAACATGTGACTTGCAGCACTCCACATTAATGCTTTAAATGCAAAGTGGCTTCAACTAATCTCTGACCACAACAGATATTGAGTCACATGGAGATTGTGGCTACTAGGCCAGAGCGGTCCGCTCTTGAGTGGCACATTGGCCATGTGGCTCTGCTAATGGAGAGTTAATGGGAAAATAAGAAGCTGACTGAAGCCCCGAAGCATCCGCCCAAAGCATTCCTCATTTAAAGTGCTACAGAGCCAGTCTTCTGTTTAAAGCCCAACAAAGCAGCAAATCATGCCTCTCCACACACCAGATGAGATCTGCTTCCTGCTTTCATCATTGTCTGAACAGCTTATCAGTCATAAAGCATTGCTTATCATCGCTAACATTATCAGTTCCAGTTTATGGCTCTCTTTGTCTTTTAGCATCTCTACTTACAGTTCATATTAACAGGCAGAATAAGAGATAGTTAAAAGAATGTAATTTTTCGATGTTAAAATGTTTTCTCCTATTGCAGTTTAAAATACAGAGACAAAACGTTGCTGTTGAAGTGGTCTGAGAGTGATATGTTGACTTTTAGTTAAACCAATGGCATAAATTTAGGGTGTGAGTTTTGCAGTTCATACTGTTAAGTGTTGTTCACGAAAACGATGATAACTATAACTATACAAAGTTTCAAAAATCATTCTAATAGAATTCCAAAACCACAGCTACTGTATGACTAATCGTTGTAATCACTTTCAGATTTTTTTTTTCTTGCTGATGAATGATAAAAACATCAAAATCCACCTGACTTTAAAGAGCTTGAGGATTTAAAGAGGTAGTTTATTGTCCACTGGTGTGAACATTAATATAGTTATCATTATAGTTACCTTTATAGTTATAAAATGGTATTTGCAATCGGTTTTATTTTTTGTAAATTGACATATTTCAGAGTGAAACAGCCAATCAGAATCCACCAGGCATTTAAGAGCTCGAGCATTTAAAGCAACAGACAAAAAACTGCAGCACAATATTGTAATAACAGAATGTTATCTTCTACTGGTGTGAATGCTTATAAAGTTATCATTATAGATCTTTATAGTTATAGTTCTCGGTGTGAACAGGCCTTTAGTCGAGCAAAAAAAATACTACTTTTAAATTCAACAGAAAACGGCATTCTCAATCTGTTTTATTTTGAGATATTTCAGAGTAAAACAGGATATTCAATGAGTAAAAAAACCTCATTGTAAATTGTAAAACTGCAAACTTACGTAAATTAATTAATCAGATTTCATAAAGGCTACATTACTAACTAAAACAGTCAAAATCAAAAGCTATATGGCTTTTGGCTAAGATTAGCCAGTAGCCCAAATGGCCTAGATCAGGGGTGCCCAACCCTGCTCCTGGCGATCGACTGTCCTGCAAAGTTTAGCTCCAACTCTAATCAAACACACCTGCCTTTAATTTTTCAGTGATCCTAAAGACCTTAATTAGTTGCTTCAGGTGTGTTTGATTAGGGTTGGAGCTGAACTTTGCAGGACAGTCGATCGCCAGGAGCAGGGTTGGGCACCCCTGGCCTAGATGATGTCAGCTGAAAAGAAAGTCATTTCACAAGTGTATAGTTTACTAAATGAAAAGATTGCAAAAATTAATTAATTAATTAATAATTTCTATGGAATAATGCACATAATTTGTGCACAAAAAAAGTCAGACCTGGTGATTTCAGCCTGCTGCTGTAGCTGTTCTTGAACCTTGCGGCAGATCTCACTCGCCGTGGTGTTCAGCTTGCCGATCTTGGTGAAGAGGGCGGCAATCTTATCGCTGCGGAGGAATCCCGCTGCTCTTCGCTTCAACAGGTGGCTTAAGCAAGCCTCAATGGAGCCTGCAGAAACAGAGGGAGGAGTTGATAAGCAAAGATCAAACACTGAATAAACTTAAGCAATTAGCATCTCATTATTTCCAACTGCTTTATGAATTCCTTTAATAACAGCCATTTGTTCTCACTTGTCAAATTTTCAATTCCATTTCTTTCCCAGGAGGCTTTGCTATAGATGAACTTGCACGATGCAAGGGAAAATCTTATTGCAGAAGTAATTGTGTTCTGCCTCATACTTCTCATTCTCTTTTTGTGAGGTAAACAGCCATGACAGAAGCGCAATTGCAACTGGGAACAAGATTTACCGCTGGTTCCTGAAGCACAGCTAAATATTTCAGTAATTCAGAGTCAGGGCGAGCTACCTGTTACCGCTCCTGCTTCTGCTAGGATTTAGTCCCCTCAAGCGCTGTGCGCTCACTTCAAAAACAAATAAACAATGGCAACAGTTCCCCAGTCCCCTAATCTCACTGATGAAGGATGGAGCGGATGTTCATATTGCTGTAAAAGGACGACTATTGCATTCGTCCATCTTTCTTGACAAGTAGCCAAGTGCTCATGCGCCAAGAACAACATAAATTATGATACATGAGGAAAGTTGCTCGGCAAATGAAATCTGATTATTATCAAAACAAAAGATGATTTTTTTTACATGATTGCAATGAAAGGCCAGTTATGAGATTTGCATTTGCCGTGACAGCTAAGTCTACCTGTCGACTCGCCGCGTGATTGATGCTATCAATATCTCAGCAGAATCGAGGTCCTTTCGCTGCCACATAATATACTGAATTTGTGAAAGCAATCAGATGTTTATGGCGGTAATATCGTTTTTATTGCTTGGCTTGTGCCACCGGGGGCAGTGGCTTAAGCGTTCTCAGCTTCAAGTTTTTCCTGTTAAGAGCCTGTTTGATACATTTAGAAAGCTAAATCTTTTGACTAAGACGTTTAACGTTTAAGAAACCCGAAGTTGTGCAGCCCTCCAAAAGGAGACCTGATCAACAAGCTGCAAATATGTTGCTAATCTACACCTCTAATTTCAGAGCATACAAGAAGATGAATCATCTAAGCGGCTGCTGAGTGCTTCCCCCTTGAGAACCCAGCACGATAACTGTCTTCTCCCAAAAGCAGCTCTGATTTGAACAGTAATGCCCTGAGAGGCACTAAAAGAAATGGCACTTCCTGTGTTTCTCGGATCCATCATCCGTTGAGCAACAAACGAGCAGACAAAGCGCTGTGCAGTTGGGAAACGAGCTGAATGCTCCTGAAGATGTATTTACATAATCTCTCTGTGCCTGCTGGTTTGAACGCCTCCTGCATGTATCCATACACCCACAAGCTACTCAGGTCTCAAGCTCACAGCACATGTTTGAATGCATACATCTGTATCAGGCAAAATGCATACATACATAAATAAACTCTTAAAACACACTTTTCACACTTTCACTAGTTAATTTAATTTTTCCTTTACTAATGTCCGGCTCCAAAAAATGTCAGACTGCTTTGTCTTCCTAATGCTAATCTCATATTATTGACTTACATATTGTTAATTAGAAATTGCTTCTATTGTCCTCGTTTGTAAGTCACTTTGGACAAAAGCATCTGCTAAATGATTAAATGTAAACATAAATGTAATGATTATAATAAGAAATGTATCTTGAGTACTAAATTGGCATATTAGAATGATTTCTGAAGGATCATGTGACAGTGAAGACTGGATTCTGAAGAAATTCAGCTTTGCTATCACAAGAATAAATTACATTTTAAATTACTGTATTTTTGACCATATACTGTATTTTTGAATTACCGACCCCACACTTTTGAATTGTGGTGTATACAATAACAAATCAACCACAAAGTTGAAGAAACATCCAAATAGATTTTACCATCTCATATAGGTAGGATGCTTTGTGCATTTAACTGAAGAAAGCTTTGAAACAATGCATACGGGAGATCAGTATCCCATCACAGATACATTAAAAGGCTTCATCTGATTCAACTGTAACATCCTCCATCCAATAAGAACAGCATTGAGAACAGCATCTCAAAAAACCACGTGGGGATTTTTAATGAGAAACAGATTAGACATATAACCCCTATAAATCATGCGGTTTTACATCTTTGCTTGCCTTAATGGGGCATTAATGCCTCCTGTGTTCTTTTAGTCATGGAAGCTGAAGTATGTCATTTTTAAATACTTACTTCTATCCCAGTTTATACAACTATACGTAAGCCATTGATGGGTTCCTTTTCTTCAAGACAAATTACAGAGCAGTTTGTTCATAGATCAACATTGGCATGCTAGAGAAGAAGATCTAATTAGGCTAGAAGCACAGTTAACCATAATTTTTTGCCAAGACAGAGCCTGTCGATAGAATACAGCAGAACACATCATCAAAAAGCTACAGTATTGATGCACATCACAGTATTGAGTTCAGCATCACACATGTGAATGCGCTCACAAGCGACTATATACGTTGATCAATGGCTGTAATCTGAGCTACTATCATCTCTGTGAGAGGTGGGGGGCTGGATGCCGGCAGCTGGGCGCGATCGCTGCCGTCCGTAGGGAAACACACCTGTGACTGTACAGTCAAGCTGTGAGTCACAGTAATAGACAGTAATGAACTGCATGAGGTACTCGGCAGCTGCACAGAGAGTGGGCGACAGGGGGACACGGGGGGGCTCGAGAAAGAGTTGGAAGACTATAGGGAAAAAAAAAAGATTAGACAAGGACTAAAAATGAGGGGCAGAGAAAGGCAGGCCAGGAGAAAGCCAGAGTTAAAGTGATGAAGAGTGAGAAAACGAGAGGGGAGAGAGCATGAGAGAAACTACAGACCCAAAACAAGAGATTAATAGAGTAAAATAAAAGGGGAGAAAGACAACGGCAGAGGCTCAGTGACTCATCGCTCTCTGGCATAAAGAGGGTTTAGCACTGCTGTACTTATTAATCAGCCTGATCTTTGTCCCTCAGTCTGGACTCAGGCTCTGTCCTCAAGCGCCGGCCTTACGGAAAACAGCAGGTTCATAGAGACATCTGAATACCAATGACAACCGGCGAAGATGAGATTTTCCACTGGATGGCACTATATGGAACTGATCATTCCCATAGTAAAATGTTGGTTTAGAAAGTGTGAAAGAGTATTCAATTCAATATGATTCAGTTCACTTGTTTTGATTCAATTCAATGAATTAAGCTGAATTATTTGGTGAACTATTTATGTTGTTATTGTTAACTAAAACTATTCAAAATAATTTTCAGTCATTTAAATAAAGTGAAAATAAAATAAAATATAAATATTATATAAAAAATTAGAAATTTTGCATTGGCAACTATCTAAAATAAAAGTTGTTTTAGTTGATGTACTAAAACTAAAATTGAAATACAAATAAATCAGCTAGCTAGAAATATAAAAAACACAACTGTTAAGCAGCACATATTAAGCAGCACAACTGTTTTCAATATTAATGAACATTTTGAAATATATCAAAATAAAAGCACATCACAAATTTACTAAAACCTAAACTAAAATTTAAATGAAAACTGAAAAACCTTCAAAATATGAATACATACTACAGTATATAAATTATACTACCACTGTTATTTTTACTCATCCTTATGTTGTTCCAAATTCATTTGCTGGTATTTGTTTCTGACAGGAATGACAACGAGGCTATAAGGGATAGCAGTGCAGTGCGTTCAGTGGTTGTTTAATAATTGTTCAGCTGATGAAACGTCTTTCTGATGCCATAAAACAGTTTTGAAAGTTGTGAAAATTATGTGATCTAGGACTTTTATATAGTATGTGTTACTGTAAAGACTGTATGTCTATCCCTTAGCATTATTTTAATCCACATTAAATTCAGTATGGTATCTGGTTAAGGTCTATGGTGTTCTTGCTTTAATGACAAGTCACACTTTCAACAGAACGACATTGTAGAGGAGAATTTTCTCCAAAGGGAAAGATTATCTGTCAACAAAGACGTAAAATTTCAGTCTGTTTATCATTCAAAGCTCTTGTATGGCTTCAGAACACTTATGGTTATATAGACAGCTCGGATGATGTGCGGAGCTTTTTGGTCCTTTTTGGATCTTGACAGCTGTGGAACTGTTGTTGTATGGAAAAAAGCTTCAAAACTGTTCCTTTTACTTACACCTGTTATTCCAAATCTGTATGACAAATGAAAAAAAAAAAAGTATATATATATATATATATATATATATATATGGAAGAATATTGGTAACCAAACAGTTTGAGTCCTCTGACTTCCATTGTACAGAGTAAAAAAGGATGAGACGTTTTTCTAAATATCTTCTTTTATGTTCCACAGAAGTAAGAAAGTCATACAGGTTTGGTAGACACCTTGGGAGGTAGTGAGATTAAACAAGACAGAATCTTCTTCATGATGACAAACCATTACACAACTACAGATGTTGCACTCAAAGAAAAACTTTTTTTTTGTACAACTGGCACCATCAGCACCCAGAGAAGTGCCCTGCCATTTCAGTGAAGTGAGAATGAGCTGAGTTTAATCAGTTAGACACCTCTATTAATAGATGCATCCATAGTTTTTGTGAAAGGAGTCAAGTATGAACACAGCCCGTTCCTGTCACCAGGAAGCCTTGCAAGATGGCAGTCTATTTAAACACACACACACATACTACAACAACCCAGCATGAAGGAATCACACACACCTGTATATGATGCATTCACCCCATTCCTGCACTTCCTGCACCTGTGCCTCCTCCTTTCATGATCCAAATAACTGCTCTGTATCTCATCCTTTCAAACAGTGACTCCCAGCCAAACAAACCTCACACAGCTGGATTCATCTTTTTTCGAAAACTTGAAATTTGAAATCCAATTAAAAAAAAAAAAAGACTGAATAAATTATATAAAATAAAATAAAATAGTATTATGTCAAATGAATGAACAAATGTGTTAAAACAAATCATCTCACTTCAAATATATTTCCAATGAAACTCAAGATGTTCTTTGGATCTCAAATCA